TGGAGAGGGGACGGAACCAAATCCAAGATGAATGAGCCCTGGGAAGTGGGCCCATTGAAAGGAGATGGAACCTGTGGATGCCTTGGGGGCAGCAGCAATGGCCTGCTTTGGGAAGCCCCGTCTTTGAAGGTGAATGTGGCAGCACTGAGACACCACCCAGAAGCAGGCGCCACAGACACTAACTGCAGAGTCATGGGATGGCTTTCATAGATCTTGCACATGCATAAGATGATAGATCTGCAGGAGTCGAGGCAGTGGCATAGTGAGAGAGCCAGAGGGTCAGTTGCCCCTGGGAGGAAAATAATATAAAATTTAGTTAAAAATAGATGTCACATGTTTTTAAAAGGAATACCATATCTCCTGCCTTTTGTCTATTTTTGTCTCTTTAGGCCCCCAGTTAAAATTTTCAAAAGCACTTGAGTAACTAAAGTCATTTTTGAAAATTGGACTTGGAAATCTAAGCTCAGATTTTCAAAGGTAATTAAGCTCCTAAAGAGACAGTTGTCAATTCGGATCCTTAAAGATATCTATGGGCATGTCTACACTACAGCACTAATTCGAACTAACTTAGTTCGAATTAGTTAATTCGAACTAAGCAAATTCAAACTAACGCATCCAGACTAAAAAACTAGTTCGAATTAGCATTAGTTCGAATTAACTTTGATAGGTGCTACACAGGCAAACTGCTAGTTCGAACTTAATTCGAACTAGCGGAGCACTTAATTCGAACTAGGTAAATCTCATTGCACGAGGACTAACGCCTAGTTAGAATTAAGCAGTTTGAATTAAGGGCTGTGTAGCCACTTAATTCGAACTAGTGGGAGGCTAGCCCTTCCCAGCTTTCCCTGGTGGCCACTCTGGGCACCACCAGGGAAACTCGTCTGCCCCCCTCCCGGCCCCGGAGCCCTTAAAGGGCCACGATCTGGCTACAGTGCCCGTGCCAGGTGCAAGCCTGCCAGCACCCAGACAGCAGACCCTGCACCTGGCACGGCACGAACCAGCTACCCGCTGCCACCCAGCCCTCCGCCTCTTCCCAGGACCAGGCTGGCAGCTCCCGGGAGCCTGCCCAGGTCCGCAAGAGGCGGGCGCCTGCCTGGTCTAGTGCAGACATCGTGGACCTCATCCACGACCTCCGCACTAGGCACAGGAAAGTGGCCGTCTAGGGCACG